AAGTCACCAACTGTCTGCAGAGTCAATAGCTAAAGACCTCCAAACTTGGTGTGGCCTTCAGATCAGCCCAACAACAGTGCGTAGAGAGCTTCATGGAATGGGTTTCCATGGCCGAGCAGCTGCATCCAAGCCTTCCATCACCAAGTGCAATGCAAAGCATCGGATGCCGTGGTGTAAAGCATGCTGCCACTGGACTCTAGAGCAGTGGAGACGTGTTCTCTGGAGTGACCAATCACGCTTCTCTGTCTGGCAATCTGATGGACGTGTCTGGGTTTGGCGGTGGCCAGGAGAATGGTACTTGCCTGACTGCATTGTGCCAAGTGCAAAGTTTGGTGGAGGGGGGATTATGGTGTGGAGAGGCCAGCAGGGGGCTTCATCAAACCATCAGAGCACCCTGCCTCAGTACTCTCAGCAGCCCTGATGCAAGCAGTGGACTGGTTCTTGGGAGGAGTTATGCAAATAACACACTGGGGTTTATTTACTAAAGCTGGTTCACTCTCATGTACTTAGAAACCAATCAGCTTCCAGGTTTTATTTCTAAAGCTTAATTGATCAAGCTGAGGTTAGAAGCTGATTGGCTGCCGTGCACAGCTGCACCTGATTCTGAGTGAACCAGCTTTAGTAAATAAACCCCAAAGCCTTCAGGGGCAGGTGTCGGTCAGGAGGAGCGGGTGTTCCCAGGCAGGAAGCATTTGCATGTGACCCTGATCTTCCTTGATTGAAAGAACTGAAATACAATGAATGAAAAGGAGGTGGGCCAGGCTGAGGAGGGAGGTGCTAAATGATGCTGGACGTCCTCCAGCCAGGAAATGGGGTGGAGCTCTAACTTGCTGCAGCCTCTAATGCACATTGTGAGAAGCTCCTAGTGTGCAGTGAAAGAGAAAAGACATTCCAGTCCAGGAGAGGAGCCGGTCCAACTGCGCAAGACTGAAGGGGAGGAGCCGATACACCTGTGACAGACTGGAGGGGAGGAGCCGGTACACCTGTGACAGATTGGAGGGGAGGAGCCGGTACACCTGTGACAGACTGGAGGGGAGGAGCCGGTACACCTGTGCAAGACTGGAGGGGAGGAGCAGGTACACCTGTGCAAGACTGAAGGGGAGGAGCTGGTACACCTGTGCAAGACTGAAGAGGAGGAGCCAGTAGACCTGTGTAAGACTGAAGGGGAGGAGCCACTACACCTGTGCAAGACTGAAGGGAAGGAGCCGGTACATCTATGCAAGACTGAAAGGAAGGAGTCGGTACACCTGTGACAGACTGGAGGGGAGGAGCCGGTACACCTGTGACAGACTGGAGGGGAGGAGCCGGTACACCTGTGACAGACTGGAGGGGAGGAGCCGGTACACCTGTGACAGACTGGAGGGGAGGAGCCATTACACCTGTGACAGACTGGAGGGGAGGAGGCGGTACACCTGTGACAGACTGGAGGGGAGGAGCCGGTACACCTGTGACAGACTGGAGGGGAGGAGCCGGTACACCTGTGACAGACTGGAGGGGAGGAGCCGATACACCTGTGACAGACTGGAGGGGAGGAGCCGGTACACCTGTGACAGACTGAAGGGGAGGAGCCGGTACACCTGTGACAGACTGGAGGGGAGGAGCCGATACACCTGTGACTGGAGGGGAGGAGCCGATACACCTGTGACAGACTGGAGGGGAGGAGCCGGTACACCTGTGACAGACTGGAGGGGAGGAGCCGGTACACCTCTGACAGACTGGAGGGGAGGAGCCGGTACACCTGTGACAGACTGGAGGGGAGGAGCCGGTACACCTCTGACAGACTGGAGGGGAGGAGCCGGTACACCTGTGACAGACTGTTCCCATAGCAAGGAGACAGGCTGAACTGCTGTAACACTGACACTCGGTGGCTGAATGTCTTACTATGGGAACTCTGCCATACTGTTTCTATCTGATCAGCCCAGCTCTGATGAAGAAGGGATCACCCTTCGAAACGCGTTTTTATCCCCCCCTTTGGATTTACCTGTAACCCTGTGTGGATATGGTTACTTATGCCTGTTTCACCGTCACCTGGGTGAGTATATTTCCTAAATTAAATAATATTAGTCACTATTTATGGAGGTAATGCGCAAGGTTGGTGCGCTCTTTCTTTCATCCTCTTCTAGTTCTATCGCGCTTCCCCGGCTTCGTGATAGAGCTGCACAACCTCTGATCACCAGCGGATGAACACGCTGTTTGTTACTAACGCCCGTTTGATCTGAGTCATTGAGCGCAGGAGATAATGGATCTATGGTGACTGTAGACTGGAGGGTAGGTAGGCCAGAGATCAAATCTAAAATACACGACGCAAACCTGGACAACTCCAACTGAGCATACCGCGATGAAAGTGCAGAGAAACTGCCAAACAATGTACCAGGCCCACAGTGCCAGGACAAGGTCCTCTAGTGCCCAGGACGATTATGCCAAACTGCCCCCTCCCCCCCAAAGATGTATGAGCATTATGTGTCAGAAAAAATCCCCCCCCCCAAAAAAAAATTAATAATTGAGCACTAATCTGCATGCTTTTCAATATCAATTCTCCCCCCCCCCCCTACTGAAATCTCCCCTCCCAGCACAAGGTTTTCCTCCCCCATCCCCCCTCCCAAATCAAATCCTCTCTCTTTCCAAACCCCCACCCGGAAAATAAAAAAAAAAATGCCTCCTAGCACAAATCACTACTTCTGTCATCTTGTAGTGCCGTGAACTCTCCTCCTGGCGCCCCCCACCTCCCCAGAGTGCCCAGGGCAGCCGCCCCTCCTGCCCTCCCCTTGTCTCGGGCCTGCAGGCTCAAACTGATGGCACTGAAACGGTTGATCCATGTAGGTACAGTAAGGTAGGTACATAGAGGTGGATTTACTAAAGCCAATTATACTGTGCACTTTGCAAATGCAGTTGCTAGAGAGCTTAGTAAATGACGTAAAGCTACATTCTACAAAAATACCCAATCACATGCAAGGTAAAATAAAAAAAAAAAAGTATATTTTTTTTGATTGCATGTGATTGGATGATAGAAGTCAGCAGAGCGTTCCCTCATTTACTAAGCTTGGGAGCAACTGCACTTACAAAGTGCTCGGTCTAATTGCCTTTAGTACATCCACCCGTGTGTGTCTTCCATGGTTGTAGAGTCCCTCCTGGCCGGTGAGCTTGTCTTATGGCTCGTTACTTGACTCCTCTGTTTTCCCCGGAGTTCTGCTTCAATGACAATCCAGCCTAATACAGATGAAATGGCGAGCTCTTGTTCCGGGAATAGCACCTCCGGCACAGGCGTGGTGCAGGCATACATTTTGTGCAGTGCTCAATCATCCAAATTAGTAAAAATGAAGTGCAATCCGAGGAGCCACGTGGGAGAGGGAAAGCCTAATAAATATTCTCCCTAGAATTGGGACGTGGGTTTCCAATCCTGGCCGTGATTTATGGCTTCATAAAAAGACAAAGTATTTTGTGTGCACCAAAATACCTATTACATTTCCGTGGGACAGAGATGGATTTCTTGGCTGGCGACTTCTAGACGCGGGCCAGACGGTACGCGCACAAAGTGATATGCACATATTAATGCCTGGAGAGGTGTGAGGTCCTCCGTTCACTTCCATCAGAAAGGGAAGTACCTAATACCTAGGGGGGGTTATACATACAAAGCTGGCCAGTTATCCCACCGTAGTGCCACGGGGTACAGGTGAAGAGTTTGGACCAAGGCTTCTCCTTGCAGCAGAGGTAGGATGGCATGGAGGAAGGCCAATCTCCCAAGCGTCAGCCATTGATCATTCCAGTGAGCTGAATTTCTGGTTTAGAGCGACACCATCATTGCCAATTCAGGCCGACGTGTAAAGAAGGTAAGAAAGTGCCAAATGTTCTCCTTCAAATGCCAGTTTATGCATTACCATACCTCCATAGACCCCAGAGGATCCCATTAAATAACTTGGTGGTCAGTGGGAGGGATGCCCCTTACATTGGTGATCAGTGGGAGGAATGTCCCTTACATTGGGGGTCAGTGGGAAGAATGTCCCTTACATTGGGGGTCAGTGGGAAGAATGTCCCTTACATTCGGGGTCAGGGGGAAGAATGTCCCTTACATTGGGAACCAGTGGGAAGAATGTCCCTTACATTGGTGATCAGTAGGAAGATCGTCCCTTACATTGGGGGGTCAGTGGGAAGAATGCTCCTTACATTGGTGGTCAGTGGGAAGAATGTCCCTTACATTGGGGATCAGTGGGAAGAATGTCCCTTACATTGGGGGTCAGGGGGAAGAATGTCCCTTACATTGGGGGTCAGTGGGAAGAATGTCCCTTACATTGGGGATCAGTGGGAAGAATGTCCCTTACATTGGGGGGTCAGTGGGAAGAATGTCCCTTACATTGGTGGTCAGTGGGAAGAATGTCCCTTACATTGGGGATCAGTGGGAAGAATGTCCCTTACATTGGGGGTCAGGGGGAAGAATGTCCCTTACATTGGGGGTCAGTGGGAAGAATGCCCCTTACATTGGGGATCAGTGGGAAGAATGCTCCTTACATTGGGGATCAGTGGGAAGAATGCTCCTTACATTGGGGGTCAGTGGGAAGAATGTCCCTTACATTGGTGATCAGGGGGAAGAATGTCCCTTACATTGGGGGTCAGTATGAAGAATGTCCCTTACATTGGTGATCAGTGGGAAGAATGTCCCTTACATTGGGGGTCAGTGGGAAGAATGTCCCTTACATTGGGGGTCAGTGGGAAGAATGCTCCTTACATTGGGGATCAGTGGGAAGAATGTCCCTTACATTGGGGGTCAGTGGGAAGAATGTCCCTTACATTGGGGGTCAGTGGGAAGAATGTCCCTTACATTGGTGGTCAGTGGGAAGAATGCTCCTTACATTGGGGGGTCAGTGGGAAGAATGCCCCTTACATTGGGGGTCAGTGGGAAGAATTTCCCTTACACTGGGGGTCAGTGGGAAGAATTTCCCTTACACTGGGGGTCAGTGGGAAGAATTTACCTTACACTGGGGGTCAGTGGGAAGAATGTCCCTTACATTGGTGATCAGTGGGAAGAATGTCCCTTACATTGGGGGTCAGTGGGAAGAATGTCCCTTACATTGGTGATCAGTGGGAAGAATGTCCCTTACATTGGGGGTCAGTGGGAAGAATGTCCCTTACATTGGGGGTCAGTGGGAAGAATGTCCCTTACATTGGGGGTCAGTGGGAAGAATGTCCCTTACATTGGGGGTCAGTGGGAAGAATGTCCCTTACATTGGTGACCAGTGGGAAGAATGTTCCTTACATTGGGGGTCAGTGGGAAGAATGTCCCTTACATTGGGGGTCAGTGGGAAGAATGTTCCTTACATTGGGGGTCAGTGGGAAGAATGTCCCTTACATTGGGGGTCAGTGGGAAGAATGTCCCTTACATTGGGGGTCAGTGGGAAGAATGTCCCTTACATTGGTGATCAGTGGGAAGAATGTCCCTTACATTGGGGGTCAGTGGGAAGAATGTCCCTTACATTGGGGGTCAGTGGGAAGAATGTCCCTTACATTGGGGGTCAGTGGGAAGAATGTCCCTTACATTGGTGGTCAGTGGGAAGAATGTTCCTTACATTGGGGGTCAGTGGGAAGAATGTTCCTTACATTGGGGGTCAGTGGGAAGAATGTCCCTTACATTGGGGGTCAGTGGGAAGAATGTCCCTTACATTGGTGATCAGTGGGAAGAATGTTCCTTACATTGGGGGTCAGTGGGAAGAATGTCCCTTACATTGGAGGTAAAAAAAAATGCCAAAAGCTTCTGAACTCGCGTTTAGCAGCTGCTCCTCTACATGAAGCCTTAGAAGACAATGGGAGAGATTTAACAAAACTGGAGCACTTGCAGTCTGGTGCAGCTCTGCATGGGAGCCAATCAGCTTCTAATTTCATCTTGTTCAATGAAGCTTTGACAATAAAAAATGGAAGCTGATTGGTTCCTATACAGAGCTGCAGCAGATTTTGCACCCTCCAGTTTTGGTAAGTAACCCCCAAAGTGTGGAATTAACAAAAAGAGTGCTGTAAGCACAATGCCTGCACCACTCTTCTAGACAAAAAAAAAAGGAGCAGATGCTGCTCCTGATTAACAAGGGGGTGCACACCCCTCTATTACCTAGGAGTGGTGGGTTCTCTATTCTCTGGCTGTGATAGGCACAGCACAGAGAACAAGAAAGCTGGAGCTGCATTCCCCAATCTTCCTGTCTTTCCCCGCCCCCGGCTCAGCTCAGAGTGGGCTGCAGAAGGAAGGTTGTTATTGTGGAAGCTGGATATCGCTGTAGTAATTATCACCACTACAGTAACCTCCACTAGTCCTGTGCCAAGCGACTGTCCTGCTGTATTGTGAACACAGGAGGTTGCTCACTCAGCATGGCCACCATTTACGGTGCACTTTTCATTTTCCCACTGATTATAAAGGGGTTGATTTACTAAAGGCAAATAGATTGTGCACTTTGCAAGTGCAGTTGCTCCAGAGCTTAGTAAATGAGGGGAAGCTCTGCTGTCTTCCCTCATCCAATCACGTACAAGCAAAAAAAAAAAAGTTTTTCTTTTTTCTTTTCCTTGCATGTGATTGGGTATTCGTTGCTGAGTGAAGCTTTATCTCATTTACTAAGCTCTAAAGCAACTGCACTTGCAAACTGCACATATCTAAACTTCAGTAGGTTGTGTTGGGGAAGTCCATTCAAATAAATGCACCAAAAAAGCATGTACTATTCCCGGCAGCTGTGTACCAGTACATGTCTATGGGGCAGCACAGTGGCTAAGTGGTTAGCACTTCCACCTGGCAGTACTCAGGTCGTTGGATCGAATCCCAACCACAGCACCACCCTCTCTGGAGTTTGCATGTTCTCCCTGTGCCTGCGTGGGTTTCCTCCAGGTACTCTGGTTTCCTCCCACACTCCAAAGACATGCTGGTAGGTTAATTTTCTCCTGTCTAAATTGTCCCTAGTATGTGTATGTATGAATGTGAGTTAGGGACCTTAGATTGTGCACCCCTTGAGGGTTAGGGACTGATGTGAATGTACAATATATATATGTAAAGTGCTGTGTACATTGATGGCGCTATATAAGTACCTGAAATAAATAAATATAATAATGTCTCTTGTTAAGGTGTATTGAGGTTCTCTCCAGAATGAATGTCCCAGAGATGGTTGTGTGTGAGAATCCCAGTAGATCAGCAGTTTTTGACATACTGAGACCAGCCTGCCTGGCACCAACAACGTTGCCACGTTCAAAGTCACTTAAATCCCTTCTTTCCCATTCTGATGCTCGGTTTGAACTTCAGCAAGTCGTCTTCATCACGTCTAGATGCCTAAATGTATTGAGTTGCTGCCATGTGATTGGCTGATTAGCAATTTGTGTTACCAAGCAATTGAAAAGGTGGACCTAATAAAGGGGCCGGTGAATGTATATATGGACGTCAGCCATATTTGCTCAATACATAGTTCACATTTCCTGAAAAGGCTCACTACCTTCACATTCAGTGTTGCCTATTTTCGACATCCAAAATCCAAGAAGGCCATCGTGTGGTCACCACAGTGCTGATCTGCACCCTTCGGACTGCTTTTAAAAATGTAACCTTGTGAGCACAGCCTAGACAAACCATAAACTGTGAATTTGTTTTCTTCAAAAGGTCAATTTTGTGTTCTGGAAGTTTAGGATACAACATGAAGGCCATATGGGATTCTCTCTGAGCAGAGTAGATACTTCAATAGACCATAAGCATCGCCCTATCCTTCCTCTGTTTTATTACTTGTCAAATAAAAAAAGATAGATGTCATATCTCATGTGACCTGACTGAGCCGATCAGACGGCTTGTTTCGACAGTTTGGCCGGGTCTCGTTATTGTGTCTTCATAAAACGGATGATTACCATACTGTCATAAACCATTGGGCTGAGAATAGTAAATGACCCCGAGGTGTCTCTGAGAAATGAAGATCATCCTTCAGAGGGTCAAATGATAGCACCGCGATTAACTTCGTCCATCTGGAAACAATGGATCACCTAGCTGTTAAATGGGAGGATGGGGCAAGTTCAAGGGTCAAGACCTTTCTCTAATGGGAAATGAAGCTCAACGGCCAATAGAGTTTCATCAATATCACACAACGAGGCTTCCATCACATCAATAGTGAAGGCTCACATCTACATCACCAAACAGCAAAGTGGTCTAGTGGTTAGCACTTCCTCCTGACAGGACTAAGGTCCTTGGTTCAAATCCCAGCAGGACACCAGCTGCATGGTGCTTGCATGAGTTTCCTCTCACACGTCAATGACATGCTGGTAGGTTAACTGGCCTTACTAGCTGCATGTGAGGAAGGTGTCGGGGAGGACAAATTAATATGGACTTCATTGACAGCAACTTGAGGAAAACAAATAAATAAGCCACCAGCTAAAATGTTTAAAGAGCATTGGCCACCTGGTCCCTGAGATTTGTACAGCCCCACCTTAAATTGTGAGCTCCTTGGGGGCTGGAACTTGTGTGAATACGTGCTATGTCAATAGTTGGTGTTATAAACACACTGGGGATGAGCTTGGGTTCGGTCCAAACCCGGAAGGCAGCTGTCAGTGCTGAGCCAATGAACTGCAGGCAAGGGATTCCACTAGATGGCTCCACCTATAAGAGGATTCTTTCTTGGATACACAGAATATAACTGGATATAACATTTATAGGGAAAGGTGATCCCGGGAATATCCGATTGCCTCTCGGGGATCAGGGAGGAATGTTTCCCCTGCAGGAGGAGATTGGATCGTGCTTTGCTGGGTTTGTTTGCCTTCCTCTGGATCAGCTGTAGGTGTCGGATTATATTATAATTTAATGGTTGAACTGGATGGACTTTTGTCTTTTTTCAGCCGGACTAACTATGTAACTGTGATATAAGTGTGCTCCTCATTGCCATCCAACAGCCATAATTTTCCCTATTCAAACTTTTTTTTTTTTTTTTTTTTTCAATGCAATGAACATTTGATCTGCGGAGAAAATGAACCAAGTATATTTGATTGTGCCCCATCTGCACAGAATGGATTTACATACTGCAAATACATCCCATAGTGTTCACATCACAGAACTCTGAAAGGACATTTAAACCTAAAGAATGTAATTTATTGCACCTTAACAACTTAAAGTCCGGACACTCCCCCCCCCCCCCTTCCAGTCCGGACGCTCTCACCCCCCCCCCCCCCCCCCAGTCCGGACGCTCTCCCCCCCTTCCAGTCCGGACGCTTTCCCCCCCTTCCAGTCCGGACGCTTTCCCCCCCTTCCAGTCCGGACGCTTTCCCCCCCCCCTTCCAGTCCGGACGCTTTCCCCCCCTTCCAGTCCGGACGCTTTCCCCCCTTCCAGTCCGGACACTTTCACCCCCCCTTCCAGTCCGGACACTTTCCCCACCTTCCAGTCCGGACACTTTCACCCCCTTCCAGTCCGGACACTTTCCCCCCCTTTCCAGTCCGGACACTTTCCCCCCCTTTCCAGTCCGGACACTTTCCCCCCCCTTCCAGTCCGGACACTTTCCCCCCCTTCCAGTCCGGACACTTTCCCCCCTTTCCAGTCCGGACACTTTCCCCCCTTTCCAGTCCGGACACTTTCCCCCCCTTCCATTCCGGACACTTTCCCCCCCTTTCCAGTCCGGACACTTTCCCCCCCCTTCCAGTCCGGACACTTTCCCCCCCCTTCCAGTCCGGACACTTTCCCCCCCCTTCCAGTCCGGACACTTTCCCCCCCCTTCCAGTCCGGACACTTTCCCCCCCCCTTCCAGTCCGGACCGGACTTTCCCCCCCCCTCCAGTCCGGACACTTTCCCCCCCCTTCCAGTCCGGACACTTTCCCCCCCCTTCCAGTCCGGACACTTTCCCCCCCCTTCCAGTCCGGACACTTTCCCCCCCCTTCCAGTCCGGACACTTTCCCCCCCCTTCCAGTCCGGACACTTTCCCCCCCCCCTTCCAGTCCGGACACTTTCCCCCCCCTTCCAGTCCGGACACTTTCCCCCCCTTCCAGTCCGGACACTTTCCCCCCTTTCCAGTCCGGACACTTTCACCCCCCTTCCATTCCGGACACTTTTCCCCCCTTCCAGTCCAGGCCAATTTTCAGCTTTCAGCGCTATCACACTTTGAATGACAATTGCGCGGTCATGCAACACTGTACCCATATGAATTTTTAGCATTTTGTTGAGACAGATAAAACTTTATTTTGGTGGTATTTATTCACTGCTGGGATTTTTATTTTTTTGCTATATAA